TGTGCGGCAATCAGCTGGCACTGAGTCATGCCTGATGAACAGATGCGTCTTCCCTCCTTCCTCTTACTCTCTTGGCTCTGGTATGTGTTTGAGCAAATTATTTCTAGTGTAGATTATTAACATTCAGGAAGTTTGGGCAGTCCACTTTTATTTTCCAGGAGAATTTGTGGTCTTGCCATCTGGTAGCCTTAAAGGTGGTAAAGACAGCCAAGCAATTAAATATAGCATGGGTTCTTAATTAGAGGGCATTCCTTTAGATGGGTTTTTATAAACACTAATAGAATTAAAACGGGATTCAGTGTTTAGCAGAGAGCCTTTCAGAATGTAGATTGAAGCAGTGACCAGACATTTATGAAACTGTGAAGATGTGATTAATCATGGAGGCTGTTAATTATGTCCTGCAGAGAAAAGTAATTGTGTGCAGTCACATATTTAGTGAAGAATTATCAGGAAGGAATGTGCTATTTTAAAAATACAGTTTTTGTGACATTTTATCATGCTTCGTTCTGAATTCTAATAAGACTCTATTATGAGCTGATAATTTCCCCCTCTGAATTAGGAAGTCACACCACTCTAATCTCATTAGTAGTTGACATTGAAATGACTTTATATTCCCCGGTTTTCTCTATATACTCCAGACATACAAAGTTTTTCTCCTTGAATTATTAATGAAAGAATACTGAGGCGATGGTGTCTAGGCCCAGCAGAGCAGCCAGCTAAGTTCCGGAAGCTCTGTAGTGTCCATGTGCTGTTTTAGAGACAGACTTATCTGTCATTTGTTTGCACATGGAATACATTCCTTGGTCTAAATATACAAGTCAAAGGGTTCTCAATGGGGAACCCCCACCCATCTGTAATAGTCCCAAGCTCTCCAGGGAAACTGGGCTTACAGAGCAAAGACCCAAGGGCACAGCCTGCGGACTAATTTGCCAGTTGGTCTGGGATGCCAATCATAGCTTTCAGCCCTCACTAGCTAAGCAATCGCTTTAGTTCCCCATGCTTCTGTTACCACACTGTAGGGTAGGGGTGATTGCAGAATGGTTGGGGAATTTACTAAGTTAGAGTGTGTGGAACACTTGGAGCAGTGAAAGGTACAGGAAGTGTCCTGTGTTGCTCATAATTGCTACTAACTGAAATCGGCAGGGGCAAGGATAATGAGCAGAGGGAAGACTTGGAATAAATAAGCTGGAAGCCAGAACACCCAAGCTGGTGCTCAGGTTTATTTCATGAGTGCCACTGTTTTCCTGTAAAAATATGGGCTTATTTGCCAGCTCTGCATTAGAGTGGATCTGGAGCAGGGTGTGCTGGGAGTCTGGGGTTGCGGTGGGTGGGTCTTGCCCAGAAGACACTTTATAGCCTTTCTGTCTTCTGGTATTTACATTCAGTCAGCTCCATTTTCTACAGTGTTCCCTGAGCCTGAGGGGAGATGGCATGAGTGTCTTGTTGATGGCTGAGCATACACCCACCACTCATCCTTAGCACCCACCACTCACCTCAGCACCATCACTCATTCTCAGCACCCATCACTCAGCACACATCACTCATCTCAGCACACATCACTCATTCTCAGCACACATCACTCATTCTCAGCACCCATCACTCATTCTCAGCACCCATCACTCATTCTCAGCACACATCACTCAGCACACATCATTCATTCTCAGCACCCATCACTCATTCTCAGCACACATCACTCAGCACACATCACTCAGCACCCATCACTCAGCACACATCACTCATTCTCAGCACACATCACTCACCTCAGCACACATCAAGGCTGAGAATAACCTGGTCTATGGCTATAAGCATATGTACTTAGGAGTCAGTTTGGTATTATTTCAGCTTAGGTAACAACTGTATTCAGCCTCCACCCCAGGGCCTATTATCTCAAGATCTCACCACGAGTTTTTGGCTCTGTTTACACTACCAGGCATAGATCCCCTGAAATCCAATCAGAAGGCTGTACAAGGATAGGCCTAGCAAAAGTCAGGCATGGCGGAAGAGGAGTTCAGGGGTAGCCATCTCTTTCTGTTGAATGATTTGCTACAAATAGATTCAGGGAGAAGACGGGGCTCTTTGTCTTCAATTGTCACCCACTGGAGACCACACTAGAAGCCAACTGATGCTCCCTACCTGGTGGTTCCAGATGACCGTGGTTAAACTAAATGGCTCATAAAATAAAAACAAAAATCATGAAATTGGGAAAGGGACTGGTAAGGATGGGGTGGGGAGGGTTGGTGAGGATAGGAAGGAGATAAGAGAGGAATGGGAAATGAATAGATACATTGTACACCAGTATGAAATGGTCAGCTAACAAAATGATAAATTAAACACTTTGTAAAAAGAAATGTTGAAAACCAAATTTAGAAAGTCCCATGTCCTGAAGCTCTGTCTTTAGAAGTGACAAAATGCTGTGGGTTTTTAAAGGCTGGGAAATTATTCAAGAAACAACCACATCAAGGCTTGCTTAAGCCAGGATTTTATACATTTATTTTTAAAATTGTCAGTAACATGTGTATACATTTGCCGTATACATGCTTTAAAACAAGTATACATTGTGGGCCATCTAAGTTGAGCTAATGAATCCATTGGCTCAGATTATTACAGTAGTTTTCACAAGAATGTGGACTTATTGCTTCTTGGTAATAATTGGAAAATAGAGACACTGTGTGCTGATTCCTGAGGCCATGTGAGGGGGCCCAAGCAGAGAGAGCAGTGGGTAGTGTGACTGAGTGATACACTCTGGGGTCATGATGGGTTTGCCAGACTTAGGCAATCCAGGACATAGGGAGATGCTCAGTAGGGAGTTGCCCCTTTGAGTTAAGCCACAACTCAGCTTAGATATTGGATGAGAGAGGCTTAGATACTCTGGTGGATTCTACCAGAATGGGATAGATAGGCAGTAGAGACTCATCTGGAATAGCTATGTGGGTAGGGCTATGTCTAAATTTTCTTGCTCAGCGCCGATTCCACGTCTGTTGAAAGAGCGAATGAATGAATAGATAGATAGATAGATAGATAGATAGATAGATACATAGATAGATAGATAGATAGATAGATGGATAGATAGAGATAATTGGAAATATCTGGGACCAGACAGGTGGGAAGGGAGCTGGGGACGAGTTTGTTCCTACACTCTTCCTCGGATCTCAGGTAAATTAAACTGGGACAGCTCATTGCAGCCACAGCCTCGCTTCTTTGTCTTCACCTGTTCTCTTGCTGCTCTAGGTATATTTGGGGGTTCTTGCTCACTCCATCTCAGTCCTCTCCAATGTTGCCTACCCTGAGGTTATGAACCTAGGCCCTGACTTTTTTTTCTCATGCTCCTTTTCCTCTCATTCTGGGTCATGGTCAGGGGCATTTAGAGGGGAATGGACTGGACTGGTGAATATATTCTTCTGTACAAATGACTGATAATACTTTACTCTTTTAAAAATGATTTGCATTTTCAAAAATTAAATCTAGTAACCCCAGTTGTCTAGAGGTAGGAAAGCTGGCAGCCAGTGCAAGAAGCTTTTGGGGACCCCGACTCCCTCTCTTCCAGGAAGACACTAAAATGTGGGTGGCTTCTTTGGGGACCGTGGAAAGGTGAAAGAGAGGCCAAGCAGCAGCTGGTGTACAAGTGCACGCACCAGCTCTCTGGTCTCATTAGGACCACCTCTTCAAGGGTACTTTGCATCTCACTCAACACACACACATAGGGCTAGGGCATTACTCAGTGGGAGAGAGCTCACCTAAGGGCATAAGGCCCTGGGTTTATCCCTGGCATCCTGGCATTGCAGGGGATAAACAGATGACACCTGTATGACATTGTTAGACCTTTTGTCCCTCTTTCATTTTCTATTCTCTATCTATCCATCTATCTATCTATCTATCTATCTATCTATCTATCTATCTATCCATCATCCATCCATCCATCTATTCATCCATCTATCCATCATCTGTCTATCTATCTATCTATCTATCTATCTATCTATCTATCTATCTATCTATCTTTGAGACAGGGTTTCTCTGTACAGGCATGCTCCACCACCACCTGGCCTATTTTCCCTTTTTAAAGCACATCTCTTTTATGAAGTATTAGACATACAGAAAAAAATCCCATTTATAGTACATATACACCTTGAATTTTTGTTACTACTTATCTTATTTTTAAGGGTGTGTGTGTGAATGTGGGTGTGTACTCCTGAGTGTTAGTACCTAGGGAGGCCAGAGGCATTGGATGCTCCCTGAGCTGGAGTTACTGATGATCATGAGCCACTTGATATGGGTACTGGGAACCAAATTCTAATCCTCTGCAAGACCTGTGCATGCTCTTAACCATGGAACCATCTCTCCAGCCCCTTTATTGTTTTATAAAGTGACCCTGTGTCCATTTTCTCTGGCAATGAGCCTAGGGATGGAATGAATGGAACAGAGATTTTTCTTGTTTCTTCTCAAATGCAGTTCTGGATTCCAAGGGCTGTTACCACAGTCTTGACAGCATCATGAGTTCCCATAGCTACCTTGTCTTTGCCAACACTCACTACTGCCAGTAATTTTACTTCTCTCTCTGTGGGTGGGTATGAAGGGCGTTGTTCTGGTGGACAGTGTAAAGATGCATGTTTCCTGTGTTCACTGCCGAGTTAACTGATCTCTGCTGTGCCGCTTCTCCAAGTTACTCACCCTTCCATGCCCCACTTCAGTCTGTTGGCTCGGCATGCCCACTGGTATGCAGTTGGGAGTTTTCCTTCTTTTTTCTAATTCCCTGAGAGTCACTACAGGGCTGAGGAAGGGAGCCAAGCACATCATAGAGATAATGGCAAATGACATTTCCTGTGCCTGTTCTTGCCTAGGTCAACTACAGGCAGAGCATCGACAAATTGAAGTACAGCTCAGTGACAAACACACCTCAGATTGTTCAAGCCAAAATCAATGCCCAGCAACTGAGTCACGTATGTAGCACATGCCTGCCCAGCTGGGAGTCTTGCAATTGCTATGAGGCCTCTGGATAGCTAACCCCAAGGATTTTACTTTTACTAATGCTGGAATATCTAATTACAGCCATGAAATGATGCCCCTCCTTTCAAACTTTTTTTTATAGGGAATGTCAGTATATGCGAAAGTAGAGTACACTGTATTGAAGTCCCAAGTACCAGCTTTGATAACTATCAACTAACTCACAGCACATTCTGCTTCATCTATGTGTTTCCTATTTCCTTTCTCTATTATTCTGAAGGAATTCCAAGATATTATCTAGCTTCATCTATAAATATTTTAGTATGAATCTCTAAAAAGTAATAAAATATGTTTTTATAATTTAATATAGCACATCAAAAAACTAATAATAATTCCAACTGTCACCAGTGTCCAAGGTCCAGGGTTAACTTTTGAGCAACACTCCTCACAGATGGTACTGAAGTCTTCCGTCAGAAATCCTATTTTCTGGGTGGTGGTGGCACATGCCTTTAATCCCAGCATTCAGGAGGCAGAGGCAGGCAGATCTCTGTGAGTTCGAGGCCAACCTGGTCCACAGAGTGAGTTCCAGGACAGCCAGAGCTACATAGAGAAACCCTGTCTTGGAAAAAAGAAGAAAGAAATCACCTGCTTGTGTAGCTCTTTTGTGCACACACGATTTAAGATGCATTTTTTTGCAAATGTGCATTTGACAACTACACATTATCAATTATCGCTACCCGTAATGCTGTCTTTTGATTGCTGGTGAGTGTCTAGCCTGTGTATCGCAAATGTTTAGCCCAACAGCAAGTTACAAACGTCTTGCAAACTCACAAACTTGAATGTGCCTGTGAGCTGTTTCATTTTTCATTTGACATCTTCAATCTGTTAAATAAACCATTCCCTCAAATTACAGGTTTTCTTGTAAAGGGGCATTCTCAGACACTCGCTCTCGGCAATGGGAATCAGAGGAAGGTGGGAACAGAACACTCCCCCAGGTTTTCCTCCCACTGTACACAGACCTTGCAGACATATTTTAAATCCCACAGGTTAATTACCGAGCTGACTATGAGAGAAACAAGCTGAACTACACACTGCCTCAGGATGCTCCTCAGCTGGTGAAGGCCAAGACCAATGCCAAACTATTCAGTGAGGTGAGAGCAAGGTGGAGGGAACTTGTGAATGTGGAAATGGTCCAACGAGCAGGGCCTACTCTCCTCCCAAGGAAGGCTCTTTCTAGGGTGCTCATCCCAGGACAATTTAGAATTTTGTCATCTTGACACTTGGTCAGTCCCTGGGGATGAATTGTTCATAGCAATGCAATTCTTGTGTGAACACATGTGTGGTATGTGAACATGAATACTCACCACCATTACTGCCACCATCCTGGTGACTAACTGGTGACTTTGTGTGGAGGGATTTCAAGTTTCAAGAATCATCTTCATCTGATCAGCAAAGACACAGGGAGTTATGGGGTGGCTGTAACTAAGCCACTAGTCTAGATGGGATTTCTGGGGCAGACGAATTAAAAAGAGGGACTGATGCTTTTTGCAAGACTGTTCTATGTTGAGGCAGAGGATATGTTGATAAAAATGTGATGTGTTCCACGATACAGCGTAGCATTAGCATAACTCCTGCTGTTTGGTGGCATGGGTTTTGATATGAGACAGACCTGGATTCAGAAGTCACATTGGACCCTTTTTATCTGTGTGACCCTAGCAAATACCTTCAACCTCCTGCACTTCCACTTGTGTGGATATTTGTAGTTAGTGTCTGCAAAGCATTTAGGAAAGGACCACACATAGTAGCTGCTACCAGGCAGCATCAATCCCTTGCATCTTGGCAGCACCTCACCAGTTCAGGATTTTTCTTCATGCTCCACACCCCACTTCTTCTTCCAGCAGCCCAGAGAATGATAATATGCATTTTGCAACCGATTAGCCCCAGGTCAGAGAGGTAATTGCCCAAAGTCACAGGACCAGGCAAATGAGGGTTCTTTCTTTGTCCTGTCCCATGTGAGTGGCACTAAGGATCAGTGAACTATTTTAATGATTACTGTGACAGTCTTGACAATACCAGCCAGGCTCTCCCGCCCGCCAACAACGGAGGAAACCAAGTTTGCTTTACAGAAAACTCCTCTGAACTTCTGGCAGACCAGTGGGCGGCAACTCCCACTCACCTGTGTTTTTATTCGCCAGGTGAAGTACAAAGAAGGCTGGCAGAAGACCAAGGGGAGAGGGTTTGAAATGAAGCTGGACGCCATGTCTCTGTTGGCCGCCAAAGCCTCGGGGGAGCTTGCTAGCAATGTAAGTTCTTCTCGTTAACTCAGACATGTGGAAGGAATGATTCCAATGCGATGCCAGCGCCTGCTAGAAAAATAATGACTGTTAACGTTGTAAACATCACAACACTTTAATCTTTTTCTTGAAAAAGATGGGGGCTTATCCCCCCAGAATTGTTCTCTTCGAACTCGTTACAGTCAGAGTCCCTTCCATGGCAGTTACTCTCTTGTTCATACTAGACTTTCTTCTTCCTCTCAAGATTAAATACAAAGAAGAATATGAAAAAACAAAAGGCAGAGCCCTGGGAACCACCGACTCCAAGCTTCTGCACTCTCTGCAGGTGGCCAAGATGAGCAGCGAGGTAAACTCCCCCTCCCCCACCCCCAGCTCCAAACTGATGGCTGTGCTTCTGGGTGACTCTTGCCTTTGTGTGGACTGGCACCTGCAATGCTTTTCTTTCTGGGCTTATATGAGGAACTTGTTCACTTCCTTTATGTTGCCAAAGCATAGTGTTCTTTAAAAGTGCGTGAGGTGTATGGCCCGAGGATGACAGCATCCACTGATCAAGGAATATGGGTGCTCAAGCACATCTGTCTATGCCACAGATATTTGCCGAGCAGTTACTGTGGGTAAAGTACTGCACAAGATTCTGGAGCTATGAGAATGAACAGTTTGCAAGTTCCCGCCTCACAGAACTTAGCTCAGATGGGAGAGTATCTTAGTCCATCGTTCTGCTGTTAAGGCAGAATGCTAGAGATGGCACTTTGTGAAGGAAGAGCTTTGTTTTCTCACATAATTCTGAAGGCTGGAAAGTACAGGGATGTGCAGCTGCATCTAGTATGGGTCTTGTTTTGCACAGGATGGAAAAGTGTAAAGAGGAATGGATGTATGTAAAAGAGAGAAGGAGCACAAGGTGGGCCTTGCTTTATATTAATAACAGCCTGTTCATGGTAAGGAATCCAGTCCAAGAGGCTGAAATCGTGTGTTCATGAGGACTCTGCCCCAAGAAACAAACACTTCCGCCTGGCCCTACCACCCCCACTACCACCGCCTACTGTTGAGGAATTAAACCTCAGTATAACTTTCAGTGGGGGTGAGTCATATCTAAGCATAGCAGGGGTTAAACAGTAAGCTTATAGTTCATTGTGACAATGCTCAGGGTGAATCTTGTAGTCACAACAGAGAGTGTTCAAAATATTTGCCAGGCAGATGGAGCATCCAAGGCTCCAACCAACTTGAATATTGTTGTGTGTAAATAATTGGAGATTGACATTGGCGAGTGTCACCTACAAAAGACCATGGCAGGCTGGTCGCAGAGTCACTGGAAACGAGAGTGCTGCTGAAAGAGACATCTGTGGTTTTCAGTCACATCTTCTACCCAGGCAAAGCATGCACAGTGGACACGTGAGCCCTGTGTTCCTGCTTTATCCTTCCCAACCAGGATGAAGTCATGCAGCTCTGCTCAACAGCTAAGCATAATTACCTGACAGGCCCTTAAGAGACCATGGAGTGCCAGGAGGTGGTAGCACACGCTTTTAATCCCAGCACTCGGGAGGCAGAGGCCAGTTCCAGAGGTAGTTCTAGGACAGCTAGGGCTGTTACACAGAGAAACCCTGCCTCAACAAAAACAAAAACAAACAAACAAAAAAGAGAGACCATAGACTGAGTAAAGTGTGGGAGCTGGCATCCAAGTCACCCACTTAGACACGTTATAGGAGAGGTCTTGGGAAGTTCATGGTCACATGCACAAAGAGACAGTAAGAGTTAGAACTGAGCTTTGGCTTAAACGGACAACAAGTTGTTATATTTGAGTAGTTGTAACCCAAAACCCTATGGTAGTCAATGATAGTGGTAGAAGAGGAGAGAGTTAGACCCAGAGCTCTTTTTACCCTGCATTGTACTTCTCCTGCTGCTTACACTGTCTCCTCACCATATAACCAGTGTCACCACCATCACTGCCACCACCACCACAACCATCATCACTCCTACCATCACCACCACCACTGTCATCATCACCGTCACCACTACTGTGACTGACATCGTGACCACCATCCCCACCACCATCAGTCACCATCATGGCTTCCATGGATACCACTGTTGCCATCCATCATCACCACCACCACCACCACCACCATTGTGTTCTCATCATGAATGTGTGTTCTTTACATGTGATGGTCCCTATTCTAAGCATATTTCTGCCTCTATATTAATATTCATCACAACGGTTTCCTCAAGGAAAGTGAGCCCTCAGGGAGGTGATTTAACTTTCCAGAGGCTGCCCGGCTGGCAAAGGGCTGCTCAGGTTTGAGTTAGGCTTGTCTGGCTCTGTAGCCCATACTTGTTTGTTGTTTTGCCTCTGATCGCCTCTGCAGAAAGCATAGATGGTGTCCTCTCCTGCAATAGCCATGCACGGGACAAAGTTTGGTAAAAGACAGTCCTAGAGGCAAGAGAGTAGGAAACAGCACCAGTATGACCTTGGTGACACTGACTTGGGGCCACCTTTCCAACAGACAGATGGCCTTACCCAGAATGCTGAGTTTCTGAGAGCCTGAGAGGCTCTCCCACACTTTCATATAACTCCTGCAAGAACAGCCTTTAAACTATGAGCCTTGTCTTGTTGCATTCAAGGTTGAATATAAGAAAGGGTTTGAGGAGAGTAAGACCCACTTTCACCTGCCCATGGACATGGTAAACCTCAGGCATGCTAAAAAGGCTCAAGCTCTCGCCAGCGACCTTGACTATAGGAAGAAACTGCATGAATATACTGTGCTGCCCGAAGACATGAAGACTCAGTGGGCCAAGAAAGCCTACGGGCTCCAGAGCGAGGTGAGTGCCCGCCAGCCGCTGGCTCCTTGCACCCATGAAGCTTGCCATTAGATGCACTCTCAGAGTGATTTGAACCTGTTCGTGAGTCCATTGTATAATGCAGAGAACTAGGAAGAACTAGAGCTGCCCCAGGTCCAGGGAAGAAGATGAGAGAAAGAGCCAGTCAGGATAGTAGAGACTCAGGATGGGGCAGGCTCGGAGCCCGTGGGAAAGTCAAGATGTACTGGAAACGACACGAGCCAAGGAGAAACGTGTTGGAAATATTGGTCCAATGATATGAGACACTACTTTCGGTCAGTCCAAAGTGTTTCAACACTAAGGTAGAACCTGCCCAGCTCAGTCATAAGGGGGACCCAGTGGTTTTACCTCCCAAAGAAAGACCTGCTGAGGATAAATGGGGGCGCAGTTTTCTGGGAAGACAAATTTGGATTTCCCTGACTTTTCCATCAACTTGGTCATGTCCCTGTGTGTATGTGTCACATGAGAGCTTGGTGACATTTCTCTTGCAGCTGCAGTACAAAGCTGACCTGGCATGGATGAAAGGGGTCGGGTGGCTGACCGAGGGGAGTCTCAACCTAGAACAGGCCAAGAAGGCTGGACAGCTCGTCAGTGAGGTAACCTGAGTGTCTGTCCCTGGCCTCCAAATGATTCTCAACTCCCGAGTCACAGAGTGCTGCTTCCCTCCAGTGCCCTCTTGAACCTCCAGGGCTTTATTCCGAATGTGAATCAAAGGGAAGACACGTCTTCATGTCTGTACCTGAAATGTCCCCTGAACTAACTCCCCACCCCCTTAAACTTCCTGTAGGAAGCTTTTTGGTTTGTTTTGGTTTTGATTTTTGTTTTCTTGACACAAGATCTTCCTATATAGCCCAAGCAGGCCCTGAACTCCAAATCCTCCTGTTTCTGCTTCCTGGGTGCTGGGATTACAGAATTGTGTCACCATGCCCAGCTCTGGGGAGGTATTTTTAAGAAGCTTAACAATTTATTTTAAGAAGCAGTCTTTTTAAAATGGTTTTTAGAGACAAGGTTTCTCTGTGTAGCCCTGGCTGTCTTGGAATTGGCTCTGTAGATCAGGCTGGCATCGAACTCAGAGGTCTGACTGCCTCTGCCTCCTGAGTGCTGGGATTAAAGGTGTGCACTACCACCACCCTACAAGTAGTCTTATTCAGAGAATTTAGTGTAGAAAGGGTAGCATAGTATACAGATAGAGCAATCGAAAACCTGAAAAACTCAAAATGCTCCAAAATTCCCAACAATTTGAACAGGAAATCACAAAGTCACATCATGACATTTTGTATCATACATTAAATTATTGAAACTATTGCATGAAATTGCCTTGAGGTTATAGCTATCATGAGGTATATATGCAACATAAATGAGTCTAAATTGGAGTCTTATCCCCAAAATATCTCATTATATACAAATATTCCCCGCAAACCAACCAATGGGGAGAAAAGTCCCCTGAAATCTGAAAAAAAAACCTTCTCATCCCAAGAAATCAACCTTTCTGACAGAAATAACATGGGACTCAGAGTCTGGCATTTGTAGTAGATGTCTGCCACACTCTCTGGAGACTTGGGCGGAGTCACTACACCTGTGGACCCTCTTCTCATGTGAAAATGAGAAGGCTGAGTAGAGATACGTCCAGGCACGTGGTCTAAGCCTGTGCATTTGTTTATGACTTGGGGAGCTGCTTTGGCAGCAAGCAGAGAGGGACTTTAGAAGGACGTTTCATGTGGAAGTGTGACTATGCCAGGAACTTTGTTTGGGATCTTCAAGGGGATTCTTGCTTCTGGGCCAGGAAGGCTGAGTCGGCACATTGCAAAGAGATTAAAAAAAAAAAAAAAGCCACTGTTTATAGATGCAATAATTCAGTCCCTGGTGAGGCTGATTGATCACTTTGAGTGTGTTGTTCACGGTGCAATGAATTGGTCACTACTGTCCTCTATGATCCTGCGGTGACCCTGTTATCTTTCCTATCGTCCCATCTTATACAGGGGAAATAAACTTATGTCACTTTTTCCACTCACAAGCAGAGCTACTTAGACCTCAGTACTCAGTACTTTTCATGTGACTCAGTGACTCCTTGGTAATATCTCATCCCCAAACACATGCTTTGTTATTTATTCTCATTTTTCTACCTTACTTACTCTCAAAGATATATTTGATCTTAAAATATGTAGATAGGAAAAGAACAGAACATCACCTGAGGCTCTCATACCTCCCTCCTTGGAGACCTACTGAGATCTAGGTAGAAC